TTTTTTTTCATTAAATAAGAGTAGAATTAATAAGTTAATTATTCATGAATATCTATTCACTAATATAATGCGCATCAAAGATGAGGTAATATCTAAATTGAATGTTACACATTACAATGTACATAAAAGCTATAGATTAAAATTTTGGTTGTAATCTGAGACATATGCACCTAGATCGAGTACATTTCAAGTTCATTCAGGAAGTTAAAGAAAGGACTTTGCGTACATTGTCATATAGGAAACTTTTGTAAATTTGTGATAAAAGCTGATGAACATCATCAGATTAACATCGATATAGATGCTAATTTATTCGATTATTTCTGCATTATCTAAATGTACATATATTACACAACCTTAATAAATTTGTTCTGACATTAGTTTTTTGAATGAAAAGCTATCTAAAGTTCTTGTATGATTACTTTTTCTTCTACTGACACAAATGTTCACTTCACTTATAATACACTCAATTGCTACATTGGTTAATTAAAATCGGTACGAATATATTTGCAATATAGAAAAAAAAAAAGAAGAAATTGTCTATTAAAAAACAATATACTTGAACAGATTGATTAAAACTTGTTGACATCCAATGTAAGCCTTATGCTTATTATATTTTATAGAGATAGTATTAGATTAATATATTTAAAAGTACGAAAAAAGGTATGATTGGACGTATGATAAATGTTTAACTAGGTTTTTTCCTACTGGCTTCCTATTGTAAATAGAAGACGTCAGAATAGAAAGATTTCTGTAGATACATTTATCACTTATACTTTTGTCACATAATAAATTTTTCTTTGTTAAAAAAGAATTCGTCTTTTTTCCTATGTTATTTTGTTATTGCACAATAATATAATTACAGTGTTTTTATTTTCAGCATACTGAGACGCAACGTGACTGAATATTTTTACGTTTTTCACCAACATACATAGGTGTAGAGGAAGAGAACACGTTTTGCGTTTTTTCTATGTAATCGTTATTTTTACTTGGTCTTTTCCTTATTAGTTTCAACTGCAGTAATTATAAATAAAAATCATATACTATTTAAAATAGTCAACAAACGTTTTAATTTAATGTCAATTATGGCTTCATCATCGTTAAAAAAAAGTATGTCAGAATCATCATCGTCGTCGTCTAGAGAACCTTGTATTCGTTGTCAAGAACAACCCTACGATGTAGTGTGTACATGTGGAGATAAATATGATTTTACATGCGTTCAATTACATATAGAGGAAATTAGAATGGAATTTGAATTTTATCAAAATGAAGTTGCAGAACGATTACTTGAAGTTGAACAAATCGTAGAAGACAAGAATCCTACAAATGCTAGGACAATCGTAGAAAATTGGGTTTGTATTAATCAGCTACTATAATTAGATTAAATATATATTATCTTGTAAAGAAAATTATTTATTATGAAGATTTTTTTTTCTATTCATTTAATAGAGACGCAAACGTATGACAGATATTGATGATATAGCCAATAATATTTTAAGTCAAATTGATAGACGAGAAGAAGCTTATTCTAATGTTGCATCATTTCGAGTTCAATTTGATTCATTATCTCAAAATACAAATCGTATTGTTCACGAACAAGTCCATTCAATTGTTACACTACAACAACAAGTTCGAGAAAAATCTGATCAACTGGAAATTTTACCAGAACTTCTTCACGATGATATCAATTTAGATTCAGAACTTCAGTCAAAGTTAAATCCTAATATAATTAATCAAAGCTTAATCACCCAGGAAATCGAACCCACGACTTCTTCAGCAAGTTCAAAAATATATGAAAGCGAACCCGTTATTTCTTCAAATTCAACGACAAATATATTAACGAATACTAAGCAATTTGATTCTGATCCAATGACTACTACAAATACAAACATGGCAATGAGCACTGTAGAAATCAATCGTGATTCAATGACTGCTTCAAATATGAATATGCTAACAAATATTGAATCGATTCCAAATACAGATGTAGTGAGGAATCCAGAATCAACTATGACTATTTCAGACCCAACTGTAAATATTGAACCAGAAACCGACTTAACCAATACTCGTGAAATAAGTCACTCGATATATGACAGTACTGTCAATGATGAATTTGAAGCTGGTTATACAGCTAATATTCAACGTCGAAATGTAATTATAATACGAACAGAAAATGATAAATTTGTTGGTACTGTATGTTGCCATGATAATCAATTACTCTATAATGATTATAATCATCATTCTCGAGATTTTCGTTTAACATTAATACGTGATGTATCACAACCAGGAATACGGCAATATATTGATTGGACTCAATCGGAGACAACTATTAATGGTGGTGATAGTAATTGGATACAAGATATAGTATTTTCATCTAAACTTCAAGGATATTTAATACTTAATCGTGCACGTTTACGTCTTCTTTACGATGATACATTTATGCTCGATGAATTCCATGAATTTCCTGATCGTAGTATGAAACGAGTTACATGTAATAATGAATATATTTATTTAATATCAGCATGTAATGCCACTTCTCCAAATGGTGATGAAATTATCATAATGACTTATGATAAACAAGAAAAAATCTGCAAAACATTTCGGGATATTGCAATTAGTTCCAAAAATCGTACAACAACCGAATCGATAGGTGGAGAAATAAGTGATCTAGCTATAAGTACAGGTGGATTAATAATGATATCATATCGTTTAGAAAGTCGTCATGAAGTTGGAGTTTTTATATATAATATTACAAATAATGGTAGTAATTGGTCACCTGTTCAACAATTTATTCTTGATAGATGTTGGCATAATGATTTATCATATACACCAAGAATAGAATGGTGTGAAAAATTAAATGTTTTTATTCTTATAGAATATATATCGGGTCACTTGATAATGCTTGATGAAAATAAACAAGTGAAAGGTGAATGTCGTTTTGCACAAATACAAAATCGAAATGAATCCCCACTTAATATAAGTGTTTCAAATAATAATTGGCTATGCGCACGTTACGAATCATCAATTACTATTCATCAATTACAGAATACGAGATTATAGAGAGTTATATGGTTCTTTTTTTTTAAAGTTTTTATTAAGATATATTAACAAAGTTACGTAGAAACAATTAACTGTACTAAACTTTTTACTTTTATCAATAAACAAGTTATATTTTTTAATTTATCAATTAAAACAGACTCTCTGAATTTTTAACCATTTACTTCAGAACGCTTGTGAATATCCCACTAACTACATTTTTGAATGTAATTCGAGGAGAATTAAACAAATGCTTATAATATTATATAAATCTACGAAATGTCTGATGAGGTCATTTTTCAGAATCAAGTTTTATGAGATAAAATAATCGTTGGATCGAATATTGTCTTTTTTTATGATATATCTGTATAGCGGTGTTATTGAATAAATAGTAAATATATTGTATTTTGTTGTTTTATGAGAATCCCAAAAAAAAAGAAAAGAAACAAAAACACTTGATAAAAAGTCAATGAGCTAAAAAACTTTAACACACACCGTAATCACCGACAATGTGTATTGATCATGAAACCTAGACTACAGAGAAAGAACACAATCCATGGAATTTATCATAACTTGAAACAAAAGACATAACATAGACATGCGTACATAATAATAAAGAAGAAAGAAAACAATAACAAAACAAAACAAAAAACTGTCGAATGTTCTTTTATCTTCATTTAAATCAAGCTTTCTTTTCTCTAAAATATAAAATATATTATAATTAATAGATATAAACAATCGATCAAGTTTACCGTCGAGCAGCTAAGATGGCTAATACTCGATGACCAAAAAGAAATAATGGAATTGAAACTAAAGCTAAATAACG